GTAGAAATACAACAACAACTAAAACAATTATTACAACAACAACAATAAACAAAAACAACAATAATAACAGCCACAACAGCAACAGTAAGACAACAACAAATGACAACCTGGCGAAGAGCATGCTCTTCGGGACTCCAAACATTTCGAACGCTACTGCACAGGCACAACAACCATAAGAAGCTAAACCGTGATTCTCCTCTATTTGTATCTTACTACTTTACTTTATCCGTCCTCTTGTACCTCTAGGGCGTCGAGGGGAGAAAGAGCTTCCTGTCTCTAGCAAGTTTGATGGCCTGCGGGATATTGTATGTTCTCAGGGTATCCTTCACACCCCGGATCCAGGTCTCTTTTGGTTTTCCTCTTGCCTTGTACCCTGATACTTTCCTGTAGTAGGCTTATTCTGTGTCGACTACTACTATTGTGCAGGTGAAACAGATGAAGGAAGACTTACGCCAAGTTTACGAAGACTTGAAAGCCAAATCTGAGCAGAACGCCCACTTGGAGCGCACCCTGATGGACATGAAGTCCCGCCTGCACCAGAGCTGTGCACAACTCAAAGAGGCGGACACTCGGGTGTCTTGCTTGCAGGAGAAGGTACCCGCTGTTGGCCTATTTAAGATGAGATAGATACTGTGATAACAATTTATTGATCTCCACTTAGAGAAATAATTATGCTACGGTGTGGTAGATACATTTATTTAAAAGCACATGTTAACATATACATACGTACACACATACAAACACACGCACGCACAGGTGCACAAACTCACGCACGTATGCACGCACATGTACACAAATTCACGCACGTTGTTGCACGCACGCATGCACGCACGCACGCACATTTACGCACACGCACGCACACTTTTAAACGAACACATTTACACACACACGCTTATATGTATGCACATATACTCACAATAGCATAAGCCACACGCGCACGCACACACACGTACACACTCGGGCATTTACACTCACACGCACGCACACACAAACTCACACACAAAAAAAACATGAATACCTGTAATCGTACGTATTTCTTGTTTCATTTCTGAAAGGAGGCAGACGTCAGGTTGTTCCTTTCCTACATGAAAAAATACAAACGGTAGAAATATCTTGAGGTGATTTCTAAACTCTGATGGAGTTATAAGCAACTTTGGACTTAATATTTCTGTTACCTTTTAAATTTGGTTTTCCCGAAGATTACGAATGCACGCGACTTTTAAAATGTTTAATTCAGGAGAAGTAGTAAATTGATTAGTTCTTGTTGTTTTGTTGATGCGTCTTGGCGCAGACAGTAGATTCGTACTCTGTCTAAAATAATAGGGCTCGTATTCGTAATAAATGTGTGTCATTTAGTACAATCGAAGGGTTTTATTTATATTTAAGATCCTAACATTCTCCTAGAGTGACCACTACAGCTCGTATACTCGTACTCTACGTAACCACAGGGGGAGTTTTATTGTTATTTCAGATACTAATATATAGTCTTCTAGTACGCCCCCCCCCCCCTCGTTCGTCCTCTCTCCCTCACCCCCTTCCTTCGCTCCACCTCTCTCCCTCGCTACCCCTCTCTCCCTGTCTCCTCCCCCCCTCTCTCTTTCTCTCTCTCTCTCTCTCTCTCTCTCTCTCTCTCTCTCTCTCTCTCTCTCTCTCTCTCTCTCTCTCTCTCTCTCTCTCTCTCTCTCTGTCAAAACCTATATCCTTTTCTCTCTGTCAGATGCAGCAGCTTGAGTTCCAGGCAGGCCGTGAGAAGCAGCAAACGGCGAAGGAGGTGGAGGACAGTGAGAGACGGTACTCTCAGGCCTGCAACGAGCTGAACTGTGCTCAGAACGATCTCCGCAAGATGAAACGATGTCTGCAGTAAGGCTCACTGACGCTGCTGGTTTTGATGTCTTTGGATTTGTTGTTGTTGTTGTTGTTGAGTGGTGGTGGTGGTGTTTTTTGCTATTGTTGTTGTTATTGTTGTTGTTGCCGCTTTCGCTATTGTGTTTTTTATCACTGACGACGACGACGATGACGACGACGACAACAGTCACGACGACTATAATGGTGATGATGATTTTGCAGGATGATGGTAAGAATAGAATGAAATTGCACTCGGGAAGAAATCGAAACTGAAAGAAGTCAGGCGAATTCGAATGTAAATGTTTGATTGTTTGTTGAGTAAGCCGAACTTATATAGCGCCTGAATCCAACGAAGTCTATAAGTATAAGAGCTGTATAAAGCAGAATGATAATTCATTTAACTGACAAATCAAAAGATAGAAAACATTCGTATGAGACCAAATTTTAACTACAGCAGTAGCAGCAGCAAAAACAACATTAGCAACAATAACAAAAACAACAACAACAACAACAACAATAACAGCAACACCAACAACACACTCACAAATACATAAAAAAAACATATGAAGAAAAACAACCATGGCACAGAACAGCGCTCAATAAATTTAATATTCTCTCTCTCTCTCTCTCACTCTCTGTCTCTCTGTCTCTCTGTCTCTCTCTCTCTCACTCTCTGTCTCTCTGTCTCTCTCTTCTCTCTCTCTCTCTCTCCCTCTCTATCTCTCTCTCTTTCTATCGTGTCCCTCTATCTCTCTCTGTCTCTCTGTCTCTCTCTTTCTATCGTGTCCCTCTATCTCTCTCTTTCTCTCGTGTCCCTCTCTCTCTCTCTCTCTCTCTCTCTCTCTTTCTCTCGTGTCCCCTCTCCCTCTCTCTCTCTCTCTCTCTCTCTCTCTCTCTCTCTCTCTCTCTCTCTCTCTATCTCTTTCTCTTTCTCTTTCTCTCGTGTCCCTCCCCTCTCTCTCTCTCTCACACACACTCTCTCTCTCTCTCTCTTTCTCTCTCGTGTCTCTCCTTTTGGGAACAACGTCTGACACCCTCCTGCTGAAATTTCTGTGGGTGTTTCACGGCGCTCTCAACTGCATAAGGTCGTAAGAGCGGGCTGGACACATTGACCATTTTCAGTTCAGTAAGAATTAATTTTGAATTTTGCCCGGGCGGCTGATGCTAGTGGTAGGGCTTGGAAGACACCTTACATCAGTATTTTGAAACTTTTTTCGAAGAGGAAACATAGTCAAGTAGTCTAGTACATTTTTATCGCCAACAATATGTCATAATTGGCAATGTTACAATGTTTTTGTATTTGTATTGTTGGTTGTTTGTTTTTTAAAATGATTTTCACAGTCACGATACACTTGATAATAACACTAGATCTAATTATGAACATTAATTCTGTTGGCAAAATGTCTAGATATAGTCTTGATTAGTACTACATCTACGATAAGGGGACGCTGACAGTAACATGCTCACTACAACAATATTGTCATTAAACGTAAGGCCACCAAAGCAAGCAAAAAAGAACAACATAAGCCTTTTCTCCAATTTACTAGAAAGAGATAAATAAATTGAGCTTATATTGAGGAAATGTATTATTTCTCACTATAAGAATTCATCTCTGTGTTTGCATCAGTAGTGTGTACAACAACATGTGTTTAAAGCACGTGCGAGTCTAACAAATACAAGATATTGGAGAATGTGTCGGTTGCACATAAAATACATAGGCCTATTGTACATGCTGCCAAAAACATAAAAATGCAGAAAAGGCCTCAAAATATTGGTTGACACATAAAAGCCAATAATGCAAAACAAAGTAAACAAGAGTGGAACTGTATGTTTCCTGAATATATGTTCAAAGTCATTTTCTGTGTGTTGGGAGTGTGATTTGTAACGCATGAATGATAGGCTCATTCAGATGTGATAACGAAGAAACTTGTGTCTACAGTCACAACAGAAAGAGTTCCATGGCGAGTGATCACTGGTCAAGGATTTCAGAGCTGTGTGCATTTTGAGAAAAATGTATCCCCATACCCTGGATCACATGTCGAGGAGATGGGCTTGTCCCCCTGTAATCCCGCACACAGTAAACACACACATATCTTTGAACACGAATAAGAAAAAATCAGTGGTCTCTTGTTACGGATCAAATTGAAGTCCTGTTTCAATTCGATTAATTGATAAAAGTGCGTATCGCAATGCGTTGGCCACCCCTGCCCTATAGGCCTATGCTATTTAATAAATACATTTGTTAGACCTGGAATCTTTAATGCCCGCACACAGTAAACAAACACACATTTTTGAACACGTATAAGAAAAAATAAGCGTTGTCTTGTTACGGATCAAATCGAAGTCCTGTTACAATTCAATTAATTGATAAAAGCGTGTATCGGCTAACCCAGCACTATTACGCTATTTTATAAATACATTCGTCAGATCTGGAAGCTTTAATCTTTAATTTTTAATCCCCGCACACAGTAAACAAACACACATTCATGAGCACGTATAAAAAAAATAAGTGGTTTCTTGTTACGGATCAAATTAAAGTCTTGTTACAATTCAATAATTGATAATAGCGCGCATTGCAATGCATTGGCTAACTCAGAATTATACGCTATTTAATGATACATTCGTCAGATTTGGAATCTTAAATTATAATCATAATTATATGTGCCCGCGCGTGGGAAGTGAAAGTGAAAGGAATTTAAAATGTTTTCAAAAACAATTATGAAAGTAACATAATTAAAGTAGGACTACATGTGCTTATAAAGGCCCAAAAAGGTGTATGGATGCGGAAATTAATGTTTCGGATGAAAATAATACGCTATCTCTACTACTGTAGCGTGCGGTCAAAAATTTGATGCGCAACTGATTATCAAATATCTAGGCTACTGAACTATCGAACACCTAGATCTAGATTCTCCTATCTATATCAATTCTTCTTAACCGATGAGTATTTTTTCCAAACATTTGTTCTATATTATTCTAGAAATTTCTTTAAAGAAAATTCTTTAATAAATACTAGCGCAATATAAAAAAAAAATCCCAGTCAATGGTTTCTACAGATTTTTAAAAAGTTTATAGCTGGAGCTAAATCTCTTGTAAAAGCAAGTCCGTCCTTTTTTCTACTTCTGCTGGAGACATAAAGCTAATTATTGAACCCATGTTTTGAGAACATTAATTAGATCTAGTGAAAAAATATACGTTCAGTGTAAAACAAATTGTTTGTAACAAGTTTTGCTACTAAAAAATTACGTAGGCCATATGCGTATGCAAAATGTGTGTGGGAAGCTAGAAGTGCTGTGAACAATCCCATCCGTGTTTCGAGTTTTTTCGCAGTTCTGTAGTAGATCTTATTATGTTTATAAACTCTCTATGTCTGCTTTTCTATTGTTGCACCCAAAAACAACAATTTAAAACCTTGATTCCAATCTCTAGTTGCACAGTGAATTCTGTAACTCAAAATTACAAAGTGGACAGTAAATGTTCCACTTTTCACTCGTTTGTAAAAGCCGCTCTTGCTTTAAAAGCTATAGGGTTACTTGCGAAAACGATAAATCGTGCCCTCAAGACGCCATTGTTTTCGGTCTTCAATTCCTCACAGGTCACGTGGTACAGTTCCCGTTCTATAAGTGTAGAATTCTGTGACACCTATCGATCTTAGGACCATGAAGGAATCGTTGACGTACACAACTTGCACACGGGACCTCCGTGATTTTTTTCACCCTTACCGAGGAAGATAAACGTTAGATCTTACCTACCCAAAGATCAGGGGTATGGCTGAAAGACAGCAGTAAGGAGCCAAGGAGTGACAGTAGAAAGGCAGCAGAAAGAGTCAAGAGCTCAGAGGAGGGGGTAGAAAGTGGAAATGAAAGCAGACGACAAAATATAATTGGAAGTGCAGAAAGGGTGAAAGGAGAAATTGTTTATACACCGGGACCTACTAAATGAAGGGTGAACAGTCTGCCTCAGGAGCACAAGAGCACCCTAGAATGACTTTAAAAGAAAGGTTAAAAGCTATACCTCCTGTCTATGAGCGAAGTAATGGATCAAATTACTGAACCACAAACTCTACAATTTAATACTCACGTTGGGTCCACGAGACCCTGTTCGTCTCACCAGCTGGAATGGATTTTTAAATTTTTTTTCTAATTTCGTAGGCTACTGTCCAAAATCGTTCTTCCAAACAATGCCTCCTACAGGGAGATTGACATACAGCATTTGCGTCACGACATGGTGGACTTCGGCGCTTGTCAGTTATTGAGCACAATATGGAGGTATTGCTAACTCCAGAAGATTGTTCAATTGTCTTACTATTGACTTTAAAAATTGTATTGAATAGTGGTCGAGAATTTTAGTAAGTAGGCGCCAGACGTAAAGTTAGCAAGAAAATTTACTTGTTCCGTGCCTTTCATCTGCCTTTTCGGTAAAATCCACGCAGAAATGTGTTTTTCAATGAACATAGAAAGAAGTGAGCAATCCAAGCCAAGCCCGCCCCTCCCTTAAAAAAAGAGAAAAGAAAGACAATTGATAAAAATTGCCCAGCAGTTGGCAAAATGTAGGTTTCTTCGATTTCATTATTTTGACGACTGCCTGATTTCACCACAATACCACACATTTTGTAGCAGACACAACTTACCTTATTATCAGGCATATCCCAATAGAATGTCTGGGCAATGGAGAGTCGCGAAGGAAATATTGTAAATGTACAATTTAGGAAATGTGTTCTTCATCGTTGATCGAAACAAAAATCTCGATTTTATAAAGACCATTTTTCTTTACTCCTAAATGTTAATTATATCCTTTTAATCGTGTGAACTAGCGAGAAAAGAACCAATGAGTGTTCTTAAACATTATGCAGTTGCGAACGCAATAAAACTTTCATCAGTTCACTTTTCAATTTTCTCTCCGTTTCTCTCTCACTCTCATTCTTTCTCTCTCTCTCTCTCTCTCTCT